CGATTATCGCTGTCAAAACATAAATTCGTATTACGAAACGAACTATTGCGACCAGTCGACTACAGCGAGCTTCTAGCCTCTAGCGAGCAACTAATAAACTAAAACTGCATGAAAATGCTTTGACAGAAAGCGACCGGTTGCCTTTTTGGTATTACCGAACGACATTTACAACGACCCAAAAGCGATTAGCGATGGACTTTTGACAACTATAACAGTGGTTGTTTGGTGATTGTTGATTGATTGCTTTTTCAAATTCTATTGTTATTTCATCTCCTTAATCGTAAGTAACAACTGATTTTACTTAAAAATAGTTATTTATTGATTGTTCAGTGAAATTTTGTTAATATTCAGTCATCTTCTGCTTGTAGCGTGTGTATAACTGCGACGATGCGAGTTCTCATTTTATTGGACTATTTAAATGAATAAGAGAGTGTTATACGGAGGAACGCTACCATTCTTCGGTGGAGAATCCGAAATAATGCCATCGGCAGGGCCTTTGAGATTACGGACTTCCGAGTTCAGGTCTCATAGGTTATCCAAGGCATTGTTCAAAAGGCCATGAATTGACTCCTCTCTTGTCTCGTCGAAAAAAGGACAAATAAAATTTCCGTGGAATGTAAGGTAAGTAATCTCAGGAGAATGTAACGAAATGACGAAAAATAGAAGTAAAATTATGTTAGTTAAATTATTTTTGACGAAACCAAGTTAAACTTCACTTTAAATACTCTAAAAGTAATAAATAGTAATAGTGTGTAAAAAAGATTTACAAAAATACATTTAAACAATTTATTCACCTCACAAAATATTAAATATTTGAATAAGTTATGTGACATAAAAATTACAACAATTAACAACCTTAACAATTACAATTACTTTGTGGCAGTGTGTACATGCTGAAATTTTTACTTTATGTTGCAGGGGACTCGCAATATCCATTATGTTTGTGGCTATTAACACCAGTCTCAAATGCTGTTCCTGACAGTGCAGAAGAATATTATACTGATTTTCACTGTAGAGCCAGAAACACCATTGAATGGGGCATTGGGGAATTGAAAGCTATGTGTAGATTTTGCTTTCACACAGAGTTTTGCATTATCATGATAGCACTGTTACACAAATTATGAAAGCCTGCTCAGTATCGCATAACATTGTCAATGGAGCTACACTTACACCAAGAAGAGTCTACCAAAGATTATACGAGGCAAATTTCTGCAATAACAGCTCTGAATTCATCCCAGTTCGAGTTAGAAAGAGGCCACAGTCAAAAGGCAATAATAATACTGAGGTTATGAAGAAGCAGATAAGAATGTTAAGCCATTGGTCCTCTGAAAAATGATGTATGTATATGTATACAGCACTATGCTAAGGCTTGTGATTTCTAAGCCAAGTTAAATTAAATACTCTTGAAATTTTATATTGTATTACTAGATACTTAGATGGTGTTCTTCTTGTTCCATATAATATCAATATTTGACTTGTTTGTTAAAAGTACTAGACAGTAAGTATTAAAGTAAGTTTTTAAGAGCTAAAGATTCATGCAGCCTATGGGTCAACTATATCCATAATATATTAAGGATGCTGTTGCAACTGCCACATTCCTGCAATGCATCAGGAATGTTTGCTAACTCATGTAAACGGCTTTGCAGCTATTATGCAAAAAGATTGGCTTCCTTGATGTGCTGAATTTGTGGCAGTGGTAACAGTCTCCCAAGTGTTATTGCATTCAGGGTACAGGGCTATGTTCATGAGCACTGGACTTGAATGCATTGTGAGGAAAAAGAATTACAATTCTTTTATTACAGAACACTTAAAGTATGTAATACTTCTGTTACTAACCCTTATGAATGAATGTATGAAATAAAAGCCTTAAATTGAATTGTTTACTTTCATAAAACTTCCAATTGGTCCTTCACTCATAATAAGACCAGTGCAAAATGTTGACAGATGGGATGGTAGGAGATGACTGTAAGCAATTGTACAAAATGTTAATTTATGTAATTTTACAATACAAGTTGAAAATCAAAAGGTGTTTATAGATTGCCACTTTTCATTCATACTTAATTAAAATTTTACTACAATAACACAACTAAATGATAAGTACTAAGAATAATAACAATTAACCACTAGTTTGTCTTAACTATTTTTTAAGTAATTGTACAATATCCACTACGGCTTGGACTGTATTTGACCGGCCTCAGCTCGAAACATTGCAGCTTTGACATCGGTTTTAGATACATTTGCAATTATTTCAATTACTCTACTTAAATTTTCTTCACTGTAAGTGTCCATTGTGCATCACTTTCATTTGTTCCACTGCCAAGAGCATTTATTTGGTGGCTAATTCGTTCCACAGCCTTTCAGATGTCTCTTGTGAACTTCCACTTAGACTAAAGCCTTTAGCCAATGCTGGGTGCCTTAGAAGATGATCAAATAACATTTCTAACTGATCGTTTCAGACGCGACTTTCCATCTTCACTTCACGACACCAAAGCAGTGATAATATGAACGAAATGAATCCATAGAAGCAGAACTCAATAACGTAGACATAGGTGGCATTTTTATTACAGCGATTGATACTTTTTCGTCGACCACTTAATTTTCAAATGTTAGTGAATCGTCACTGCAATTCAAACTTTCTTGGATAAACAAAAAACATGAAACAACAAATTTCTTGTTTGAAACACTTAAAATACATTGTCTGCATATTTCTGTATGTGCAATCTAAGAATATATTTTTGTTGTTATAGATCAATTTAAGATTAAGAAAACACAGAAAACGTAAATATAATTCTTGTTGTTTTTTGACGTTTGTATTTGTCATTGATTGCCGTTCAGTTGAGAGTGGCGCTAGTTTCCATACTACTGGAGGCGGCTGTGGATAGGATCCCAAAACAATACATCTTCGACAAAAAATACAAGATACAACTGTTTGAAGATCCAAATGAAGGACTGAACCCCAAAGAGGTCCGCGTCTTCACCGATGGATCTAAAACAAATTCAGGAACAGGTACTGGGGTATTCTCAGAAGACCTCAATATCAGGATATCAACACCGCTTGGTGACCACAACACAGTATTCCAGGCTGAATGCATGGGCATCAAGTTAGCGGCAGACGCAATCATAGCGAGAAGAGTAAAGAACCACTCCATTCGAATACTCTCTGATAGTATGTCAGTACTTCAAGCACTGAACAGCTATGACATAAACTCAGGGCTCATTTATGAATGCCATCAAGCACTCATGGAGGTATGTATACAAAACCACTTAACTCTACAGTGGATTAAAGGACACAGCGGCTCACGGGGCAATGACGCAGCAGATGAACTAGCCAGAAAAGGGTCGGAGACGGACGCAGTAGGACCAGAACCCATAGTGTCCCTCCCCTACCAATGGTCCAGAACAACTATACACAAAGGTACAAAAACTTCACATAATAATACATGGACCACCCTTACGGTTTGTAGACAGGCGAGGGAAGCACTCCCAACGCTCAATGCCAGTCTATCACGAATATTAATTAAACTCAACAGGCAAGAGCTTCGCACTCTAACTGCCGCCCTAACAGGTCATGGTCCATACAATAAACACCTTTTCAATTTAGGTATCACAGACAGCCCTCTATGCAGAGCGTGCATGGAGGGGGAGGAAACGGCTGCGCACATCCTACTACAGTGCTCCGGCGTGGCCAACTACAGGGCAAAGTACCTTGGAGTGCCAAGGTCGCTCCCCGAAGTCTTCAGCAAACCGAGGAGGCTGCTGAGATTCCTGGAGGAGCTTGGGTGGCACGAGTAGGACCCTGCACCCACCACACGCAAAATAGGCGCCTTGTCGTCGAGTTGCGGACACCAGCCCGTTACACCAAGTACCAAGTACCAAGTAGTTTCCATACAGTTTACTCGCAAATGCACCAAGAGAGCAATCAGTTTGCGATTTACATCCGTAATACCAACTTAGCAATCGCGTTGCTATTGTACAATTAGCAACCAGTTGCTAAAGTTCGGTAATAAGCCTGCCGGTTTAAACATGTTTCTCTCCGTACGCGACGAAGCCGCCGGTGCTCACCCACACACGCGCCTCAAGCTTGTAGTAGTGTACCAGTCATAGCGCGGTTGTATGAAGCATTGTCTCTGTTCCTTATTTTACTCATGTGTAGCGATGGGACGAGTTGTATTTTTTTCAACTCGAGTTACTCGATTTGATGTAACTGCTAGCGCGAGTTGCAACTTGAGTTAACTCGACTCGGCGTCTGACAGAGCAACCGCGAGTTCTACTGAACTCGAACCGACGATTCACCGAGTTGGGCATGATCGGGCGGCCGACCGCGATTCGAGCGTGTTACGCAAGTCGCCGAACCGACCGAGTGAGAACCAATAGCCGACGCGTTGTATAAACAAAGTATTCGACTCGGCGAAAACTGCACCGAGCTAGCTCGACTTCACAAAAAGTAGCTCAAGCTGCCTCGTTGTGGGAGTAACTCGAGTTAAATAACTCGACTCGCCCATCACTCGCGACTCGAGAGTGCTCCGAAGGTCACTGAACGAGTAGCCGCTGCGCATTGCGCTGTATGAACGAGGTATACACTCGGCGGGGCGGGTACCGAACCGAGTTAGCTCAAGTTCATAAGTAACTCCAGTCGACCGAGTTAAATAACTCGACTCGCTACTCATGTGACTAAGGTATCCCTTTGGAACAAAAAAAAAATCATCGAAATAGTTTGACAAATAATGTCAAAAGTTATTGACAATATTTCTTTGACTATTCCTTTATTTTTTTCCATCCTCTAAGCAACATTTACACTGTAGAGGATGGAAAAAAATAAAACACAACAGAACAACTTTTGGTCATTGTGACAAACATACATAGTGTCAGAAACCAAATTAACAACTAAGAATCTCATAGTAAAATGTTTCGACATCTTCAACGCTATGTTTCTGATAGATTTATGAATATTTTTAAATAAATAATTTAAAAATAAATAATTTTAAATAAGTATTACTTACTTAGCACGTATTCCGATTGAGACTTGAGCAGGCGATGATCTGCATCATCACTGCCACCCTGCAAAGTAATAAATGGATGAATAGTAATAAATGATTACCCGTGCAAAAATCTCTTCACTACTCCTTCTGAGACACTGAACAAATTTTCTATATTCATTCCCATGACACGAGTTTATGAAACGCATACTGGCAGAATTGAGACAATAAATTAGTCTTGTCAGACTTTCATTAAGAAAAAAAAAAAAGATTTATCCAATTACTTTATTATTCACCCAATTAATTTTAATTTAATATAATTCTGTAATAATTTAATTTGGGAAATCTTATTCTTCTGATAATATAAACGTACAAAATTTTAACGCGTAAAATGTAAATTGTTAATAAGATAAATTTTTAAGTAACATTGTAACTGACACAACAGGTCCAACTGACTTGAAATAATAATAATAATTATTATTATTATTACTATACAATGTAGGTTATCAGTGTTATGTGTGTCAGTGTCATAAACCTACATTATTATATTGGCATTCTCCTACAAGTGCTACATGGCAGTTGCTCGAAAATGTTATAGACATTGACATAATATGAGTACACTTTGTCGTGTTTGTGACAATACAGCACAGTACTGACACTATACTACTGATATATTTAATAAATTTATCATTAGAGCATGGAATAATCCCCGACGAATTAAAAATATCGTAGTTAAACCTCTATATAAAAAAGATGACAAAGAAAATATTAACAACTACAGGCCTGTTTCTCTCATTCCAGTTTAAGCTAAGATTTATGAGAAAGTTATATATGAAAACATGCTATCATACTTAGAGACAAAATTTTATTCAATAATCAGAAGGGCTTTAAGAAGGGTCAATCAATTAATTTGGCTATTTACGAGTTACTGTCTACAGTTCTAAAAGCAGTAGATAAAAGTAAACCTATCATAATACTATACATGGATTTGACAAAGGCTTTTGATTACGTCAATCATAAAATCTTATTAGAAAAACTGGATAGATATGGGATCAAAGGCAATGTACACAAACTATTAGAATCATACTTGACTAATCGTAAACAAATGACATGCACCAATAAAATATCGACTAAAATTAAAACTGACATATCTTATTTTTCAACTAATAGAACAGTGTTACACGGAGTACCCCAAGGAAGTGTACTAGGCCCTCTATTGTTCCTGATGTAAATCAATGACTTTCCTACAGCTACAAAATATCCCATGCTAATGTTTGCGGATGATAGTATCGTAATTTTTGACATTGAGAACCACAATAGACTTGACCAAGAAATAAACAATGAAATAATATCTGTAATAAAATGGTTACAAGATAATAGACTATAAATTAATCTGAGTAAAACTGTGTATATGAATTTTAGACACAAAATTAATAAAGTATATACTCAACATAACATAATCTATATGAATACAAAACTGAAGGAGGAAGTTACAAAATTTTTAGGAATATACATAGACAATAATATAACATGGGAAAAACACATAGAAATCTTGTGTATGAGAATAAATAGATTTGCTTACGCTTTGTGGAGACTATCTAAACTTGTAGACCAAGATGCATTACTAACGGCTTACCACGGATATGTAGCCTCAATCATAAGATACGGTATTATGTTCTGGGGTAATGCCAAACGAAGTACAGACGTGTTGATTGCACAAAAAAGGTGCATTCGGGCAATTTGTGGGTTGTGCCGTATGGACAGCTGTAGACCGCAATTTCAAAAACTGAGATTATTGTTCCTTCAATATACATATTTGAAAAGGTTCTTTTTGTTCAGAGAAATCTCACACTCTTCAGCAAGGTGGAAAGTACACGAAGACACAATAAATTGAAACAGGTTGCCTGTAAGACTACCCTCTTTCATGATAATATTTGTGCGATGGCGCCAAAACTATACAATAAGCAGCCTAATTATATACTTGAGACTAACGACAATGCCAATTTTAAAAAGCGATTATTTAATTTATTGACTAGGAAAGCATATTATAAAGTCAGCGATTACTTAAATAGTTACCCACCACAAAATGACATAAATATAATTAAGAATTAAAATTAAGATTTGACATTTTGTAATTAAAATGTAGTAGTATACTGTTAAATTAATGTAATTATGAATATTGTATGCCGTAAAATTGGCAATACACAACAATGTTAAATAAGACCTTATAGACGTGCATACACATAAATGATTTGATTTGATTTGATTACATACACACCAAGCAACCTCTTTATTCACAAATAGTTCCAAAGCAATTTTATAATTTAGTAAGTTGACAATAAGATTTTTGTTGGAAATGGATTCTTTTTACCTTGCATGTTCACTTGGGGTCTTATTAAATCATGATTAGATTAATTAATAAATATAATTTTTAGTTATTTTTTATGATACTAGGTGACGGGATGAACAAATCGTGCACCTGATGGTAAGCGTCACGCCTGTCCATAACAGTTGCAATTTACAATAGAGTATCTTACATTTTGCATTGTCTCCACATAATTATGCTTCTCATTAGCTGCAGGTGTGTGTCTCCTGCTAGCCAGCCGGGACTCAATCTTCACGATCAGTGGGACTCCGCATCCTGAAGAATCTTGTTTTGTTTCTTCAGGCTCCTTTGAATCACTGCAATCGTAAAACAATTAAGGGTGAGGGTGCTAGTGGAATCACAGACACATGACATGTGAAACTTATGTCTCAGGGCCTATGACGGGCATTGTGGCAGTGCACACATATTTTACAAATGCAAGGAATACGATTTTCTACATGAAAGAATTTTTCAAAAAGTCAAGTCAAACAATCATTTATTCTATGAGTAAAATTTTTTACTCTTGAAAACGTCGTTTTTTAAGCTACTGCTCGTTCACCACTCTGACCTCCCTGAAAAGTACGAGCAAGAAACTGTAGGGATTGCCTTTCCATACATCTGTATATAACACATACTCTTCAATTTTGTGATATGACTTTTCAATAAAAATACTTTTAATGTAAGTTTTAAACTTAGAAAATGACAATCTTAATATATTCTCAGGAATCTTATTGTAAAAACGCACACAGTTCCCCATAAAATAATCGTTTACCTTAGTTAAACGAAATCGTGGTACCATGAGCTTGGACTGAGTTCTAAGGTTAATATTATGAATATCTTCTTTCTTAATGAAATTATGTATATTTTTCATCCAAAATATTTGAGTAAATGTACAGTACATGCCACATTTCAAAAGCATTATATCAATGAATACTTGCCTTGTACATTTCACATTAAAGACAATTATATTCAACGTGTATGCTTTTATTTTCGACCTTCGAAAATTTTCGAAAAAATTATTTTTGTTGACAAAAAAAAGAAACTACATATCTATTACATGATTGAGGTAAGACCGAGGTTGTTTTTTACAAATTTTCAAAAATTTCTCTAAAACTATTCGTTCTAAATTTGAAACTTCGGAGGGGGGCTCCCCTTCTTATTTTTTTCCCCCCATTCCCACATTATTTACCCCGGTCTTCGTGTATTAGGTGCGAAAATATGTGATTTTGAGGTTATTATTTTCGAATTTTGAAACATGAATATCTCGGAAAACTATTAACGTCCTAACTTTGCAGGGAGAGTCCCCCTCCCCTCCCTAAATTCGTGCGGTGGTAATGTACAGTCCTTCCCTTCCCTACACTACATAAAAGTAACAATCCCTCAGGTTTTCATGTTTCTAAGTCCTAGGACTTATTTTTGCAGTGCGCATATCTACTAGTCATTGCTCCAGACCCTACTCCTTTTATTATAGATTACACTCATCAACTTTTGGATAGGCCTTAATGTCAAATGGTAAAGATGAGGGCCGCGTCGTATTCGATCTATCCTACAGGAGTACAGCCTTACCTACCTGTCCACTTGCTCGATTTTTACGGTGACCAACTCGGGGCGAGCGAGGGCCTGTGGCGATTCCGCCCGATCTTCGCTGCTTGCCTCGTCGTACCACGACATCGGTGAGGGAGATTGGTTTCACACAAGAACACTTTCAAATCAAAATTTTGCACAAACGCTTAAAACTGTTCACGGTTCATTTTTTGAACTTTTACACGAGTGACACACTCTTAACAAGTAACCGAGTAGGAAATATCAATATTTACTTTTAGGTTTCAGAACATTTTGATCCAACGCAAAAGTTTAATCCAAAATGGCTCAGCGGAAGATAAATTTAAACAACACTTGGTTGGCTCTGTTGAGCAAATGCAGAGGCTCTAGTCGCAGGTCGTCGTTAAAGAATTTTTGAAGGAAACAATCAATGAAATTACATCTTATTTTTTTTCATTTCATTTCACTCGCGAAAATTGTAGCAAATTGTCTTAAAAAATTCGTTGCATTCATTCTCAAACAACCCCAGTCCCCGACCAAACCAAAGTCCGATCACAGACGACTACAGAGCAGATACTACGTGTCCCGATCGGAAAACGACTTGCTTTTTTTTTATTACTCGAATTGACAGTTCGACACAACTCTTCATTATCATAGTTTAATCGATATTCTTTATTCGTTTCATAGAGCATAAAACTTTTTTACGATTTATGTAATTAAACTACTAGTGGCAGTGGTTCAAATTCTTTATTAGTACATACATACATACGTCCCGAGACAAGAAAGAATCTTGTGAACATAAATTTTGATTCGTCATTATCAGTATAGTTAATTTACAATATAAAAAAAATTATAAGAAACCCGTGAGAAACTCCAACTTAAAGAACCAAGCTTTGGACTGCCCGTTATTTTTAGGCATGAAGCGTAAAAACGGAATATTTGACCTTTACACGGTGTACGATATTGTTAAATGATGTTGTGGTTTGAAGTTTGAGCAGTTAGCGCCCATTTTCGTTTGTAGTTTGTGTGGAGTTAGAGTGCTATAATAGTTGTTCGAGTATAAGGAATATTGTAATCATAAAACTAATTAAAATTCGCTTTCTTGGTTTGTTTAATCGATATTGTTGTTTAAATGATGTGTACGGCGAAAGAACATCTACCTACCTTCTTCCCCGACTTATTAATAAGTTACCACTGGAACTACGAAATACCTTAACAACCATTAATATAAAACAGAAACTTAAAGATTACTTTGTACAAAACTTAAAAAAATGTGATGAACATTTAATATAATAAGATAAATGTATTTACCCAATCCTATTAATTTTAGTAACACATATATTATAGATTATTTATACAAATTACTTAAATATTTACACTTAAATATAAGCTTCTGCTAGCATGTTCAAATTTGTATTGTGTAGATACAGGTCGCATTATGATAAACCTTAGTGGTTTAAAATGCGATTAGAAACATATTTGTGTATTTTGTCCTTTAAACAATAAATAAATTAAAAAAAAATTGATTAAACAACTATCTGACTTTAAAAAAATACTATTGTATTACATACCAGCAGCTTGATTTTGATTGCCTCTCCCGATCGGAAACTTCGTCTTTTCCGAGTCCAGGCGCATAATTGCGATTCACAACTGGCCGATCGGAAACTTGACACTTGTAATCGGAACAATAGTTGATTTAACTCACAAATTAGAAAGATATAATACGAATCAGGTAATCTTCTCGCTCAGAAACCCATCTGATTTCGAGACTATCGGATCGGATCGATTCCGATGTCAATCCAAATTAGCTGGAGAGGACATAAAACCACAAACTATACATTCATTGATGAATAAAGATGGGAAAAACTGCTTATTTTTTTAAACGTTTAAACGTTATGCAGACTTGAGTATGATTTCAAGCACTGGAAATACGACCCTGAGGGTCGTATTCCAGAACTCTACTCAATGCTCAAGTCAGGATCTGAGTATGATTTCAAGCACTGGAAATACGACCCTAATGGCAGGGACTTGAGTATGATTTCGAGTGCTTTAAACCATACTCAAATCCTGACTAGAGCATTGAGGGTCGTATTCCAGAACTGTACTCAATGCTCAAGTCAGGATTTGAGCAGACTTGAGTATGATTTCAAGCACTGGAAATACGACCCTAATGGCAAGGACTTGAGCATTGAGTAGAGTTCTAGAATACGACCCTAAGTAGAGTTCTGGAATACGGCCCTATATTTTTTTATACTTTTTATTTTTTTTACTTTTTTGTAAAAAACGAGTTATATTATTATTATGACATAACATTATTATATTAACATTTTGTTCATTGGCGTTTAAAAGCGTTCAAAAAAAGAAGTTGTTTAACTTTTGTAGTTGAAATGGAAAAAACTGCTTATTTTTTTAACGTTAAAACGCACGTTTAAAAAGCGTGCTTGTAAATGCGCTTTTCACCTAAACGCTTTTTAGTTTGACGCTTAAAAAGTCGTTTAGAAAAACGTTTAAGCGCATAGATTTTGTTTTAAAACAACGCTTAAGCTTAAAATGAAAAGCGTGCTTGTGCGCTTATTTTAAAAAGCAGACTTTTTAAGTGCTTTCGTTTTAACGCCCACTTCTATTGATGAATACCACACAACAGTGGTGAATACTAATTTAATTTAATAATTGCGTGACTGGATCTTGAGTAGAGTGGACGTGTGTGTCGTTTTTACAATTTCCTACAAACGTGAAATTCTTATTTTAAATTGATAATTCCGAAGTCTTAGTGAAAAATCGGTCCCTCTCGTATCATCTAGAGGTTTTTGGCGTATACGTCGGCGGCCATATTGGTTTGGGTCGGATCTCTCTTTTCCTCGTTCGGGTGAGTGGCGGCAATTGTTCGAAACTTTGAAAAATTTGAAATAACTTAACACCGAAGTGCGAGGATCGAACTCGGTCCAGTGTGTTACAAGTCCTGCGTTGGAGCCGTTAAGCTAACAAGCTTGCCGGCCGAGCGGTGAAATTATTGATCTGCCTCGACTGCCTTGACGTCACGTCACGTCACTCACTGCGTTCTTTTATAAGTGCCTGTTGAAACTTTCGTAGCAATTATGACTAAATGCAATTCTTGCCAGAAGCAAATAAAACACGCAGGTGAATTACTGACTTGTAATACTTGTCGATGTACGTTCCATTATGCCTGTTTAAACATCACGTCGGCTAAATTCAACAGCAAACGCAGGGAATTGCAAAAGTCTTTCAACTGTCCTGAATGCAACTATTCGGCAACGAGGCGAAGGGGAGAAGATACCCCGATACGTGGTGATCCCGAACCTGTGGATATATCACCTTTAGATCTCAACGATGACTCCCGGGAGGGCTTGCAGTCTAATATAAATACGGTGTGCCGTAATAAAAAATCAATGGATGATGAATCTGTATCTAGTCCCGGCATGGACGCGATATTGAGCGATCCTAAGCGTGACTCTCCTACTGTGATGCGGTCTTCTGATGCTGATGCTCTCATGCCCAGTCAGATGATGTTTAAGTTTCAGCAAATGTTTGAGGAACTCACAACTAGCGTAAAAGCTTTATCTGACTCAATTGGTGCATGTCGTGAAGAGATGTCTGAGCTTCGTGCGGAATTCACTGAGATAAAGAAAAAAATTCAGTGCTTTGAGAGCCAGGAGACTGAAATTAAAGAACTTCGTGATGAAATTAATGATTTGCGTTCCCAGCTTATTCATCGAGACAGAATGCAGGTATTGAACAACATAGAAATAGCCGGTGTAAACGAACATAATGGTGAAAATTTAAATCAAATAGTCAGCAACATTGCTGTAAAGTTGGGCGTTGCCCTTGACTTTAAGGATGTTGAATATGCGGTACGTGCGGGTCGACGATCGAAGGAAGACAACAACACATCGAGTCGTCCTCGCTCTATCATCGTGCGCTTTACAAGACGTGCGCCGCGAGACGAGATGCTGCGCGCAGCAAGAACCCGTCGGAATCTAACCACTGATCAAATGGACTTACCTGGCACGCCTACTACTATGTATATAAATGAAAACTTAATAAAATATGATCGCCAGCTCTACGGGAAGGCACGGAGCCTGGGTCGTGAGCGTGAATTCAAATACGTGTGGCGTAAGAATGGCCGAATCTTTGTGCGAAAGACTGATGGAGGCACTGCATATCTCATTCAGTCAGAGAATGACTTATTTCGTCTCTGAAATGATCTCAATTTTATTTATTTATTTTGATTTCATTTTAGATAACCTTTTCATAGCTTTTTTATACATTCATATTGTTATTATTTCATTATCAGTTGTGATTTTGGAAAAATTTGAACGGTTAGTTGATGTCTTTGTTGAGTATATCATACGAGATGCAACTGTAAAGATATACAACTGTCAAATTCGGCAGGAAGATTCTGCAAGTCTCTGTAATAAAATGATTAATCTTTGTTTTCATTATTTGTCATCTTTCGCGTGTATTTTTTATATTTTAGCTTTATTACATAGAACACACCCTTATTTACTGTTTTCATACTTATATATTACTTTACAACCAACATTGAACTCAATTCACTGTTTAATGTTTCCTCTTTATGTTTTGATTTGTCGAAATGGTGTTACATAAAGAAAACTTGTTTACAATTAGCCTGTATAATGCCCAATCACTCAACACATGTGGTGACGATTTTGTATTGGCGGTTGAGGGTCGCAGCCCTGACATTGTGGCCATAAATGAATCGTGGTTACGGAAGGGTTGTGATGCATTAGCTCCTATTATTCCATTATACAAGTTTAAAATGCGTCCACGCCCGTGTGAAGTTAAAAAAGGATGGGGTGGGGGTGTAGCCTTTTATATACACGAAAATGTTAAAGCGACAGTCTTGAAGCATCCCACTTCCTGTGTAGAACAATTTTGGCTCCGTGTAAATGTAAATGGCTTTCGCTTGGCAGTGGGTACAGCATACCGCCCTCAATGGCAGGCTGTTGACTTATTCCTTGATGCTATGGCGGAATCTGTAACTCATTTTACCAATTTCGATAAAATTGTATTGTTAGGGGATTTTAATATTAATCTCTTAGATAGTGGTAGTCTGAGTTATCGTAAATTTCAATCTTTTACTCAAAGTTGTGGTTTGTCACAGGTGGTTGATGGACCAACACATTATACTAATACTTCTGGAGCATTGATCGATGTGGTATGCACAGACTGTGTGGTTAGAAAGGTAGATTTGGACAATGTTTCAGGACTCATAGGTCATTGCTTGGTTAATGTTACTCTTAACATAAAGAAAGATAAATTCAAACCAAAATTTGTTACTTATAGGCCTATAAAAGATATTAATATGAATAATTTTAATGCAGATTTAATTAGTTATGGCTTGCTTAATAATAA